ATAAATAACGAATTCTAAGTCGACGCAAATATTAAGGTTAAGAGGCTGAGCTCCTAGATGATGATAAACAACATAGTTATGTATATAATATATTACATTTCTGACTGTATATCCCTGTAATTATTACACACTGTAGCTTTAAGGGACTCTTTTATGTAGCTTTTTATCGCTTTACTTTTTTAAGTCAGGCGCCAATTAAAAATCAAGTTGTGCGCATGCGCGTTGTTGATTAGTTAGAACTTTGTTAGCTTCTGACGGTGAGTAGGCCACTAAACCTAAAGTTTTTAAAACTAACTTCTATTTTAACGATGAATTAAGCCCTTGGATAAGTTTCAGCTCGTTATTGTTGCGTCTGTTCATGAAATCTAAGTTCTAACCGAATTTTAAACGAGTTTAACTCGCTAACTTAGCTGTCTGAGTAACGGTTTATTTTTTTGTCCAACGTAAAAAAAATCAAATACGTTGCGTAAAGTGTTTTTTTACGTTGGTGCGGGTTTGATTTGAAAGCAATAACGTACGTTATTTGTGTAAATCAGTGAGTAATTGACATGGAGAATAGCCCTCGCCTGGCGGAGCCTCCAGGGATCAGCAGCTGTTTGTCTGAACTGGACAAGGAGCTGGAGAAGCTGACCGACGAGGAGGAGGACAGATGCGGTTAGCGGCCATTGCTGGATCCACCCTCTGATATCTCCATGTTCTAACTTAGTCGCCCTGCTCCTCTTCCCTCCCTCAGTGCAGCTGACCTGGATGACGTATGACCTGGTGAAGCTGCGCACGCAGATGCTGTCGAGCGCGCAGGAGCTGTCCGAGGCGTGGGTCAGATGCAGAGACGCGGTGATGGGAGATCCTGGACCGCAGCCTGAGAGGGAAGATGGAGCTCAGGATGCTGACTCATCACAAACTTCAACTGCTGATGGAGTTTAGAAAAGATAATATTCTGATTCACTGCCTTCAGGCTGCAGCATCGCAGTCATTATAATTGATAGTTATGACCTGATGTTTATTTATTTATTTATTTATTTAAGCTGTTCTGAACTATAATAAATGTAAATTTAAATAAAGAAGCTTGTGTGTAAGTTCAAACTTGTGTCCTTTTTTTTATTATACAGCCTAATTAAACCATTTTTATCTTAAAGAATCCTTTAAAGTTTTTACTTTTAAAATATATTTTTCTATTTAACCAGGGAAAAAAATCCCATTGAGATTAAAAACCTCTTTTTCAAGGGAATCCTGGCAAAGAGGCAGCAAAGTTATATAGTAAACAGAGATATATTAAATTAAATGAAAGGTACCTAAAAAAAAAAAAGTAAAACAATTAGAGATATTTGAGGCTGCTTCAAATTCTTTCAACTTAAAAGCATTTAAAGATTAAAAACTTAGTCAACTTCCAGTTTCTTTGTAAGAAATTCCACGCAGAAGGAGCTAAGTGGCTAAAGCTTTGCGAAAGGAACAGAGCAACAGTTGGATCTCAGGGCTGTTTATTTTCCCCATAATGTATTCAAACGTGTGTTCTGACACCTTCCTACCAGAACCAGCATTAAATCTAATTTCTTTATATTTTATCGACTCCATTAAAGGTTTTAGAATAAAGCGACGCTTAATGAATAACTTTACATTTCCTAAATTCACAGTTCGTAACGTCATAAGTTGGCAACTTTTTATAGAGGTGAAATACTTCATCTGAGTATTTTGAACTCTGTTCACCTTTAACTTTTCCTTTTAGATGGAAAAGGGAGAAAGTCTGTGTGCATCGCCTGTCAGCGCTGCTATGGAGAAGCTGCTGAAAGACTTGGACTCGCTTTCCAACAGCATGGATCAACTGGCACGTATGTTTAAGCGGGTTTCCCACCCAGAGCCATTTGTCTAAAGGCTTCTCCTCCTGCAGCTCTGAGAATAAGACGAAATAAAACCTGCACTGTTTTTTTTTTTTTTTATTCCTTCTTTTTTTGTAGATGTCAGCAGACCAGATTGGTTTGGACGTGATGAAATGTCTGATTGGTAGATACGGGTAACTGAAGGATTTTCACGCAGATGGTTGTCTGTCAGCCCCTCTGATGTTTGGTTTGATGTTGCAACCTTAAACCCCCCTCAGGGGAAGGTTGTGGTGTAAGCTGGCAGTCGGAGCAGCTCTCCCGTCTATCACGCTCTGTAATAACTATCAGTCAGTTCAGCAGCTCTGCTTCAAAGTGGAATTTTAGATCTAAATTGAATGGGTTCCTGGAACAGTGATAATATGTGATTAAGTATTTCTTTAACAGGATAGTGTTTAATTATGCATTAAAGTAAAGTTCCTTTTTATTTATGCTGCAAAAGTTTGGAAAAACTGTATTTAATCACCTTTTAAACAGCTTTTCCCATTTAATTAGGTTTCAATGAGATCAACTTAAAGCAGAACTTAACTGTGAGACAGAAAGTGAATGTTTTATTTATTTACTCATAGGTAAAAGTTTTGCTGTACATTTTCGTCCTGGTTCAGTGTATCTTTTTGACAATTGATACGAAATAGAGATATAAAATAGGCAACATATTCTCATTATCAGTTCGTATGAAATCGTACGAAAAGTTATGGACAGTATTTCGTACGTTTTGGACGTTTTTCCTCGAAAAAACAGATCAGTGCGTAGCCAGACAGACGAAAAAAGCAGATACGCTGACGGATGTAAAACTGGGAAAAACAGTGCAATAATCACTTCTTCAGGTCTCTAACTAGGTTGCTTGCTGTTTTGTATCTTAGGGTTAGGGCTAATTGTGTGTTAAATTCTATGTTATTGAATGGTGCGTATGTTGCGCATGCGCAAGGATATCTTGTCTCGAGGCAAGACGTAAAAATACGACGAAATGCGATGAAAAAAACGTCTAAAACGTACGAAATTACGGTGCATAACTTTTCGTACGATTTCATACGAACTAATAATGAGAATACCGGTACACTGAAAATAGATATAAAACCAAACCAAAAAAACTAAACAATTGTTTGATTTTTGTTTTATAAAAACTAGAATACTGGCCTTTCTTTTTCTCTGTTTCCAAAGCTTAATGAGAAAAACCTCTGTTTTCTATTTTGATTAACAAAAAACTGAATAAAACACATAAATAAAAGGGGGCAGTTTTTTTTTTTATATAGATTTTTGTATCCACATTAAAAAGTCATCTCAGACTTTACAAGTAAGATGTTTTGCAGGAAATGTTCTGAGATTTTGCTGTGAAAATTGATTAAATAGTCAAGACCCCAAAGTCCTTCACAATTCAATCAGAACTGAAGGCCGGCAGACAGAAGAGAGGCTGACGTAAACCTCAGGTGGTTACAGCAGGGAATTGAACCAGCAGCTCGTCTGCAGGACAAACCTCTAGACTCCAAAAACAATTTTAATTAACTTCAGCCTCTCAAATTTAGTGCCGTTGTGAAATACGTTCGAACATCCTGTCTAAAAAAACCCCCACACTGGAAAAACGAATAAAATGAATAAAAAATTCTTAAATTAAGTGTATTTACCCTTAATTTGAGTAGGTAAATGAGATAGTTTGCCAATGGAATTAGTATTTTTACTCTTAAAATAAGATAATTAGATAAAATGCACTTGAAATTAGACAATGCAATTGTGTTTTCTTATTTTAAGTGTAAATTGTCCTGTTCCAGTGGCAAAATGTCTCTTTTACCTACTTAATCCAAGAACAAATGCACTTATTTTAAGAAAAAAATGACTTATTTAGATTTCGATTTTTCCCAGTGCAAAAAGTAATTTTCTTGTTTCTATTTGAAAGTATTTTAATTTCTTCGTTATAAAAATAGAAAATGAATGAAAATAGATTCTCTCAGCCCTTTTTCACACATGGAGAGTTAAAAACACTTTGTATTTTAACTTTTTGTAGTTTAAAACAAAAATCTTTTTCATTTCCATTAAATGAGTGAAAGATGCACTGAATGTTTAGTATCTCTGATTCGTTTGTTAATTAAATACACTGCAAAAAATCTAAATCTAGAGAAGTCATTTTTTCTTAAAATAAGTCAATTTGTTCTTGGATTGCGGAGGTAAATGAGACATTTTGCCAATGGAACAAGACAATTTACACTTAAAATAAGAAAAAACAATTGCATTGTCTTATTTTAAGTACATATTATCTAATTATCTTATTTTAAGAGTAAAATTACTCATTCCATTGGAAAATTATCTCATTTACCTGCTCAAATTAAGGGTGAATACACTTAATTTAAGGAATTTTTACTTATTTCTAGATCGTTTTTGCAGTGTACAATCCACTGGACTTTGTTTCCAGGTTGAAGACGTTTCTCTTCCATCCAGGAAGCTTTTTCAATTCAAAATGTCAGAAATAGCGTTGAGTTCCAGGTTTAATGCAGCAGCCCAACAAAGCTTTTAGAAAACATGCAACCTGAAACGGACGAATGGGTCCACCCTTTTGGAATGTGGGTTATTTGGCTTCTTTGTTAGCCTGCAATGCCCCTTACCTGTCTATGTCTCTGAAAGGTCGTTAAAGGGAATAGTTGGCCTGGCTTAAAAGGCACAGTCTTCTGGTTCCCTGTAAGAGGACCTATAGGAGCCTGGAACTCAACGCTATTTCTGACATTTTGAATTGAAAAAGCTTCCTGGATGGAAGAGAAACGTCTTCAACCTGGAAACAAAGTCCAGTGGATTTTTTTTAAAACTTTTTTCGAATGACTATGACCTGGATGACTGATAATTTTCACCAGCACATTCAGCTCCATCTGTCTGACCAGCTTCCATATCCTTCCTGAAAGAAACCACAATGCTGCTGCCTCCGTGGTGCGTTCATAGTGATGCACAGTGTACGGTTTTTGGCTTTCGTTTGATAAAACTCAAATTGGTGGATTTGTGCATGAGCAGTGACTGTCCAGTCTGCAGGTTTCAGCTCTACAGTCGTAAATCGCTGCAGCAGCTCTTACTGCTACTATGATCAGTGCTCTTTTTGTGGCTCCTGTTTGCAGTTATGCTGTATTCTTCCACTGGCTTAAAGGAAACGTCTGGTCAGCAAGGAATAATCAATGGATCATTATTTATACCTAAAACTACTACTTTTGCTGTGATTTAATGAATTTAGTGTTAATCAGTAAGACAATAAAAACAATA